GACGTTTATAATACAACTATATTATTTACATTGAACTACTATTTACATTAATTGCCTCGTGAACAATTATTTTCAAAAGATGCAAATCTTATTTCTAAAGTAATTCAAAAAATTTTGCGTATACTTAAAAATGTTTTATTATTAGAGCTTGAAACAAGTCAAAGTGATAAATCAACAATAAATAGTAGGAATGTTTACATATGCTAAAGACTTAGTTTTGGAAAAATAACTCCATGCAGTTTTACAAACTGCAGATATAAATGGTTTAATTATGCTTGTGTTGGGATAAAAAGGACTGCAAAAAGTACTAAATGGTTATGGAAGCATTGTAAAACCACAAGCATTGTAAAACCAGACAATAGACAAATGGTTATGGAAGCATTGTAAAACCACAAGCATTGTAAAACCAGACAATAGACAAATTAAAACTATTGCCCTTTAACATGTAGATATATTTTAAATCTGAAAAATTCAGAAATCAAATTGAATTAAGTTTACTTTTACTTTATACTAATTAAGTAACAACAAATATTAATAAATAATAACCATGATATTATCTAATAAATCCACTTAAGTAAGGGCAAATTTTATGTTTATAATAAGATCAAGTTTGTGATTGTGAAGTTTTTTTTGTCTTTGAATAAAAACTCAAAAACAATTAATAATACACAGTCTTTACAGTTTTTAAGACATAGTGGTAGATAAATTCTTATTGTGCCACAATTTGGCCAAACAATCAGATTGGCAACTTTAACAGATTTTTTTCTGCAAGTTTTCCCATCATTTATTCTTATTATTTACAAGTACACACACAATTTTTACAAGTATGCATGCGATTTAAAAAAAGAAAAGAATGTAAGCATTCACATGTAACCTATTTCTGTTTGATTTGTTAAAATGTGTTATAATATGAAAAAAAAATGCAGAAAATAATACAGGTTTGCTTTAATTGTTGACAAAAACATATTGTGATATAAGTTGTTTATTTACTGAATTAACCATAGAACTTTATTTTTATTTATAGCTTTAATTATGCAGAAAGATCTTCATTGCATTGAACTGCAGAAAGATTTTTCAGGGCATTGAAACTGCAGAAAGATCTTCAGTGCATTGAAACTGCAGAAAGATCTTCAGTGCATTGAAACTGCAGAAAGATCTTTCAGTGCATTGAACTTCAAAAAGATCTTTTAGTGCATTGAAACTGCAGAAAGATCTTTCAGTGCATTGAAATGGTATCAAATATGTTTAAAAATAAAGCTGGAAGATTAGGTGATAGTTTAAGCTTAACTATTTTCAAAAATTACTCTTCGCCATTTACATATATTTTCAAAGAGTTGTTTAAAACAAGCAAATCTATGTGAAAACACTAAATTTTATTTCAACCTGCTTAGAAAATGTAAACCAGTTGATATTATTTTTCAGGATTTTGCCAGGGTGTTTTATACAGTTCCTCATAAAAAGTTGTTAATTCACAATTCATTAGATTAAATCCTTTTTAGAAAATAGAAAGCAAAAAAATAAGAGTTTGCTAGGCTAATGTATCTTCTTGGGCAGAAATCACCAATGATATGCCACAGGGGTCAGTAATTTAACCACTGTTGTTTAAGCTATTTATAAACTATTTTCTTGGAACCTTAAAAAACATAATAAAAATGCAGACTAACTTTACAATCAGATCTTGATTTAGCTTTTAACATCTAAAGACTGGTTTATGAAATTTAATGTTTCTAAATATACAATAACCAGATATTTAGAAACATTAATAACAAAAGCCAAAATAACAATAACTTATCAATCTACAAAAATTAAACATAAGAGAATCCAAGCCTTTCCAGGAAAGGCGTGCGGTTTTTTGTCTCGTACGATCACGAAAATGTTTTTCAAGTTAGAGAATGTGATCACGGCTGTTTGCGCAAGTTATATTATATGCGTTACTGAAAAATTGTTTTCAATTTAATAGTTACATAAGAAATTAAAGTAAACTTAAATATAAAACAATAATAATAGTTAAAATAATTTGTGTGTTGTTTTTATTTTTGTTTTTTCTTAGTGGTTATTATTATCAGCAACAAAATTCATTAAGTCAAAGCAAAAAAAAAAAAAAAAAAAAAACAGTTTTAGGCGTTAAAAAGGATGACTTTCCCATAATTTATGTGTTTTTTCTTTTAAAGAGGAAAGAGAAAATATGTATTGTCATCTGTTTGTAAAATATATTTGCATAATTATAATGTAACAAGTTTATAACAAGAGTTCAATTATACGATTTGCAAACTCTGGTAAAATATTAGGTCTTTAAAATTTTAGTTCATGCAAAGCTGTGTACTTTGTTTATAAGGAGCAAATTATTAAAAGTTAAAAGTTTGCTAGCGAGAAAGTTACAAAAAACAAAACAAAAACAATAAACTTACGACTACAAAAGTAATAACACTCTAGTCGCTAACTGCATTATAAAAGTAATAAAACTATAATAGTGTTATTACATTTATTTATTTATTTTTATTTATTTGAAAACAACAGAAGGACCCAAAGGCCACTAACACTGAGATTCATTAACGAAATTTTTTTACTGAAATGTTAAATTGTATCAAGTGCTGCACAAGTTAGAACAAAATTGTATTAACTTGAACAAAGCAGTACAGCAAGATGTTTCTTAAACATCAAGACAGACATGTTTTCATAAAGTTGTTTGTCACGTTTTTATAAGTTGCTTTAGTTTTAATATTATTTGAACATCCACTTTATTCTTCTAGATATTTTTCTACTTCAAATAAAATTTGGGAATATTAATGTTGCTTGAACAAAGAATGAATTTTAAAAGTTATAAGTGCGTTATAAAAGTAATAAGAAAAAGTTCATTCTATGTTCAAACAACATTATTAATTCCAAACATTTATTAAAGTAGAAAAGCATCTAGAAAAAATAAAGCGGATATTCAAATATTATTAAAACTTCAGGAACTTTCACATATCACTTAAACAACATTATAAAAAAGTACTTTATAAAAAGTATAGCATTATGCAAAATGTTATGTAAAAACGCGCGTTAATTTTAAAATCAACCAATAAAAAATTTTTATTGGTTAATTTTAAAATTAGTGCGCATTTTTATGGTCCATTAGTAACGTTTTTCATAATGCTAAACTTTTAATACGATACGTTTTCATAAAGTTGTTTGTCACGTTTTTATAAGTTACTTTAGTTTTGATATTATTTGAACATCCACTCTATTCTTCTAGATATTTTTCTACTTCAATTAAAATTTGGGAATACTAATGTTGCTTGAACAAAGAATGAAATTTAAAAGTTATAAGTGCGTTCTAAAAGTAATAACACTATTATAGTGTTATTACTTTTGTAATGCAGTTAGTGACTAGAGTGTTATTACTTTTGTATTCGTAAGTTTATTGTTTTATTTTTTATTTTTTTGCTAACAAATTTAAGTTGATTCTCCCCTTAAAAACAAGGAACACAGTTTTGTATAAACTAAAATTTTGAATACCAGATATTTTTCCAGATTTTGCATTTTGCATTTGCTTAATTCAACCCTTGTTGTTACATTAAAATTATACAAATAAATTTTACAAACACATTGCAGTTTGTATTTTTGCTATCCTCTTAAAAAAAATTAAGAAAAGGAAAATCATTCTTTTTATTGTAGACTTCAAACTGTTTTTTTTTTTTGCTTCGCCTTATCTATTTTTGTTGCTGAATGTAACTCTAAAAAAAACAAAAATAAAAACAGTTATTGCACAAATTATTTAAATTATTAATTTGTTTTTATTTTTTTCTATTTCAATCTCTTTTTATTTTGTTAGTTTTGTTTTTTTGTTTTTGAAACTTTTTCACCATTATTATAAAACTTGCAAACGGCCGTGTTCACGTTTTCTAAAATATTATAATCGCGTGTGGTCATACGTGACGAAAAACTGCACGCCTTTCCTGGGAAGGCTTGGAATCTGAAAGAGATCTTGGAGTAATCTTATCAGGTAAACTGAAATAGAAATAAATAAAATGCGAAGCAAAAGCCAATCAAATGTTGGGTAGGATTAGAAAATGTTTTGTTTTGTCTAGACCACTTATGTTTTATTTAACTACATTTAGAGTTTACTGTACCAAGTTGGTCACCACTTCAAAAGAGTAATATTGATTTATGCGGAAGAGTTTGACATGAATGTGCAAATGAATTAATACCATCACTCAAGAAAATAAGCTATGAGAATAGTCTAAGCACTCTTGACTTGATCACCTTGACACAAAGAAGACAAGGAGGAGACATAATTTAACTTTTTTTAAAATTCTTCAATAATCTCAACAACTTAGAAACAATTTCTTTTTTTTATTAGCTATTAAAGTGTCTCAAGAGCACCTAATTTCTCCTTCCTCCTCGCCTCCTTTCTCTTATGTCACTTATATGCCAGAGCCGACATCGAACCTCAAAAGAACTAGAAATTAAACCTTATTTAAGCCAGAAATCTTACCATTCTACCATGGCTGTTTAATTAATTAATTAATTTAAAAAATTAACTTTCAAAAAACTCAAGTGAGGTGTCAGCTTATAATATGTTGAAGAAATCATTAAGCAAGCATCTTGTGAAAACTTTATCTTTAACAATTTGTTAACACCGAATTAGTTAACAGTTTTAAAACAGGTCTTGGATGAGCAGTAGTCAAGTGAATCAGCTGTAATTGCTAATACCACATTCATATTAGTCACAGCAATTACTAATATTTGTATTAAGATTATTTATTTTATGAATGGATTTTAAATTTTCAAAATACATTCTGTTTATAAATTTTTCTTTTTGGGATATTTTAAGTTTATTTATTATATTATTAATATTAACAATAAGATCATTATTTTAACTGAAATTTTGATTAAATGTTTTTAAAATTAAATAAAAAATATTTTGTTTAATATTTATATTATATTTAATTATATATTATGTTTAATTATACATTATATTTTATTATATTTAATTTAATATTACAATATTTATTCAGCATCAATTTAAGTTTACATTAAAGCAAGTTCGACAATGGAACAGCCAAACTCGAAAGAAAATTGTTTTTGATGGAATATTTTTATCTAATGCCACAGGTTGATTTTTTTTAAATATATTTATATTAAAGTAATTGTAAAGTTAGATGGTAACATAAATAACACCATAAAATGTACATGGCAACAAAGCCTTTATCATAAAAGAATAAATCTTATCATAACATGTATAACACGTTAATGGATGTCTAAAATGTATATGCTTTATGATTAAATATTCTAATACAAAATAAAATTTTCTTTTATAGATCTTTTTAATGTCAAACTAATGTTTTAACATTTTCAAATTTTTTGATAGAGACAATCAATGAGGAAGATGCAGATTCTTTATGGGATTATTTAATTTCTCATAACCATATTTCAATCATTGAACATTGGTTGCTAGGTGATGAATGCAAACAAGTTTTTCCACCTTTTAACATTCGTGTTATAGAGTTATCATGTATGCCACGGTATATGGAAAAAAGGCTTTTAAATCTTCTTGTGAAGAATGGATATTATCCACAGTTCCTTATAAATAACTTTCTTAACTTACTTGAGTACTTAGGAAAAAATGATCTGGTCTTTTCAAGTGTGCATCCATTTGACTTTTACAAGTACCCACTTTCAATCGAGAAACGAAAATCTTTAGTGGATGACTTTAACTACAACTTTTGTCAATTTTGTCAAGAAAATAACTTACCTGTTCTTATGTGGAGGTTTATCAATTTCTATAAGTATGTTTATCTATTTTTTTCTTATTTCTTAAAAATTAATTTAAAAACTTTTTATCTATTTTCAGTTATATAGCTAGGTACTACAAATTTATTTATTTATATATATATATATATATATATATATATATATATATTTATATATATATATATATATATATATATATATATATATATATATAAATATATATATATATATATATAAATATATATAATATTTATATATATATATATTATTTATATATTTATATATATATATATATATATATATATATATATATATATATATATATATATATATATATATATATATATATATATATATATATTAGGTATATGACAAAAAAACTTTTTTCAAAATTCTAATTTTCCTGATGTTGCATTTGATGAACTTTTACCAATAGATCACTGTTTTGAGGTTTATTTCATTGGATCACAAAAAAACCTCCCGCACCTAGCACTTCACCACTTTTAACTTTTTTGATTTTTCACTTGATTTTGTTCCCAGTTCTTACTTCCTTATGCTTGACTATGCTTGACTATGCTTGAATATAACTACAAGTTGGAGAGCGTCAAACAGTTTAAAAAGTTAATTAACATGAGAATGAAAAAGTTCGATAGCTTTAAATTGTTTTTATGTTATGTAACTCAATTTTGAATAACAAATTTTAACGACTGTTTTTCAAATTAATGCGCGTTTTTTGTTGTTTGTTGTTGAGTATTTTTTAATATTCGCGCGATTAAAATATTGAGTAGAAGTATTTAAAAAGTTTTTTCATTATTTGCAGTATTAATTTGCAAGATCTACTGTTTAGTGCTTCTTTTTGAAAATATGTCTTTTAAAATTAAAAAGTCAAAATCAGCAGTGGAAGCTGCTGGTGAAATATGGAAACAAAATTTGAAATCAAGCACGAAGCGCCGTCCTAATATACCACAGGTAAAACAGGATATGAGCAACAAATTGTGTAAAATGCCTTCCAACAGAGATATCGTTGGAAGATTCTTGGGACTCTTTAATGAATTGAAAGGACGACATGATCGGCTAACAAAAATATCCGAGGAATTGATGAATCTTTGATCTTTGGCAGAAGTTTAATTTTCCTGTTTTTTCCAAACAACAAGTGTCTGCTAATGTTTACAAACTTATCATATCATTTGAGAAACACAGAAAGCGACCAAATGCAGTATTTGAAGAAAATCTTGCTCATCTGTTCGATATAACAAAACCAGATGGAAATTGGCTTTGTAGTGAGGACAAACAACTGTACAATGTACAAATTGAATCAGGTGACAGGGTGGGATATACAACTATGAAAGTGGCTCCTATGTCAACAATCCATCAAAAAGGGCCAAAAGCACATCAGAACCTTCGACAAACCAAACGGTTATCTCCGTACCACTTTCCTATGATAGTGAGGATTCTGAGGAAGGAAGCAGCAGTGGTGACTCGGAGGCAGTTCCAGGAGAATCTCGCAGAAAGCGTGCAACACGCCAGTCAACTAAGTCTGCTGCCAAACTAGTGTCTAGTCACTCTTTGTCAACCAGAAAAACGTCACAGGTGCTTCAAAGTCTGGCTTAGGATGGAGTTTGTGTTCCAACACCATCACAGTCTGGAGTCTGGCGTCGAACAATCAGAGATGCAGAACAAGTTAAGAACCGCCTCATGGAACTGATCTCTGAAGAGAAATATTCTTTGCATTTTGACGGTAAGAAAATTGACAAGACTGAGTACCAAGTTGTGTGCTTGAAAAATGACAAAAGAACATTACAACTTGGCATTTTGGTTTGTGACAGTGGATCATCTGCAAGCATATATAAACCACTACAGGACCTACTTGATGATTACAATGCATGCAACAGTATTCAGATAATCATCTCTTACACTACAGCTGTAAATACTGGTTGCAAGAATGGAGTTGTAGCCAAGCTTCAGAAAACATTTCAAGACAAGGGATTCAATGAACCTCAATACATCGGCTGCCAAGACCACATTCTTGATCTTGTTCTACGACATGTGTTGGATTTCTTTTTTCCTACACAGTCACAGTCGCTTAACATTAACTACAAATTTATTGATGAGATTATGGAGCATTACGATGATTTAAAAAATGCCTACAAGGGCACAGCAGTGGTAGCAGAGTATGAGAACCTTGGCTGAAGAGATGACTTTAAATTTCAGTGAAGCATACAAGTTTTACAAAAATGAGGAAAAATGGTCTGATATCAAATAGCACAAGCTGCCATCACTGCACAGTGCCAGATGGAACTCAAGAGGCATTTTTGCACTTATTGCATTTTTCATTCTTCCAAACTGGCGAGAACAGCTGAGGATAACTTGCGATTTCGTTGCAACTACATCGTCGCGGGCCTGGTTTTCAAACCAGCACTATGCAGAGGCGGCTTATGAAGACCTGCTGTCAGCAATATCCCAACTTAAGTATTTCAAAGCTGTGAAATGCTTCTCTACCCACTGGAAGAAGGAACCATCAGTGCTTGATGTGCCTCGAACCAACATAGTAGCGGAGAGAGCTGTAAAGTTGATGGGGGACATTCGTTCTTCTTGCAGAACAAACAAATATCTTAACTGTAAATTTATTAATACTAATACACAAATCTGAAAGATTATTAGCATCACTACAAATGCTGTAGGACAGTGTATTTCTTATGTATTTCTCATGTGTATTGTATATAAAGTTGACATATTATAATTAATAGCCTTTGGGCTGCTATGTATTGTATGGTTAAATATAAATAACTGTCTTAGGTGCAGGAAGTTTTTTCAAGGTATGGTGAAATCAATGTCATTTCTGTGATTTATAGGCAAATGTTCATCATTTAGAACCCCAGGCTAATTGATTTAAAATTTATCATTACCTAATATATATATGTATATATATATATATATATATATATATATATATATATATATATATATATATATATATATATATATATATATATATATATATATATATATATATATATATATATATATATATATATATATATATATATATATATATATATATATATATATATATATAAAGTATAATTAAATAGAAAAATACAACTTTATAATGGAACTAAAAGTTTCATGCCTATCGGCAATCTTCAGCCATATATATTATACAAATCAAGAAAAAACCGTTAAAAAATACAAAATACAAAAACAGCAGTAGAATGAGTTCTGACGTCAAAACAAAACAAATAAAAAAGAAGCATAGTTGTAAAACTGCTAATCGCCAGTGTCAAATAGGGCATAAAGAAATTTGTTTTTATGCCAGCACTTAGATAATATTTCACTCTTTTTATTTAACAAATTTGGGTGTTTGAAAAATAAAATTTCGTACTTTTCGTTTAAGCATAAGTTACATCGTTTTGTTACAGGGTTATAAATTATTTAAACAGGCATCGCACTGTTTAATTATTTTCCACCTAACAACAGGGTTTAAGTTTTCCTTTGACAATTCAGTGCCATTTCTGTACTTCGGAATTCTAAAAGATTTTATGTGATTAGCATGTCTAATTTTAAAAGGTGTTTCGCTTATGCCAATGTAAAATTTATTGATGGGAGTTTTAACAAGATTGTTTGAGCATACATTAGCTTGATATACTATATTTTTTGTTAAGCATTGGTTTGATAAAGGGCAGGTGTTTTTATCTATGCAATTCCAGTTATTTTCAGCTGATTCTTTCTTGTTGTTTATAACATGGCGATTGTGGGCGTTTAAAACGGATTTCATATTAGGCATACAGCTATAACTTACTTTTAATGTGTTTCTGTTAAAAATTTTGTGCAACTTGTGATTTTTAAGGAAGTGCTTATCAATTAATGTTAAAAATATTTTTCTTATATTCGTGCTGACGTTTTTGCTAAAAGGCGGGTTGAACCAAATGATGTTACGTTTACGTTTCTTGGTGTGGCTGTAATTAAAACCGGACTTTTTTAATGCTTCATTATACATTGGAGTGGATTTTTGAAAGATTTCCTCGCTTGATGAATTTGCTGATAATCTTAATTCAATAGAATGTGGGAGTTGCTTTAAAATACTGGATGGGTGGTTTGATTCAGCATGAATGTAATTTAAAGAGTTTAGAATTCCGGGTTTAGAGTAAGGTTGGTAGGTGTGGTTGTTGAGGTTTAATGTAATGTCCAGATAATTTACGATTTTTATGTTGCACTGTGTTGATATCAGAAGATCGTTCGATTTAAATATTTTAACAACATGTTTTTTAATTTTTTTCATATGGAGACCACTGATGTTTTTAAAAATTGCCAAACTGTCATCACAGTATAACCCGAAATCATTCTTATTATAAAACTGTGTAATCTGAAATAAAAGAAAAATCCCCACAAGTTCACACACCTCGGCGCCAACTTAATATATATATATATATATATATATATATATATATATATATATATATATATATATATATATATATATATATATATATACATATATATATATATATATATATATATATATATATATATATACATATATATATATATATATATATATATATATATATATATATATATATATATATATATATATATATATATATATATATATATATATATATATATATACTTTTGCTTGGTCGTCTTTAAGTTTTTACCATAAAATCTCAGTTTCAAGTTTTTTTATTTTCAAGACTAGAAAAAAATTTTTTTTTTTAAATTATTTGATAGACTGCCTGCCCAAACCAAACCCTCAGTTAATGTAGCAGCACTCTGTTGTGAGTCAGGTTATTTGTCAGTCGATGTAGCAGCACTCCATTGCGAGTCGGGCTATAGGATAGTCGATGTAGCAACACTCCGCACATGTTTTACAGTTAAAAAAAAAGATAAAAACATTCAGAATGTTTTTATTTTTAAAAAATAAAATAAAAACATTCAGAATGTTTTTATTTTTAAAAAATAAAATAAAAACATTTAAAATGTTTTGAAAACATTTAGAATGTTTTTAAAAACATTATAGTCTTTTAATTTGTGGTTTTGTGGTTTAGTTACTTCCTGCAATAAAATTAATGCATTTTGGCATAATGTATCCTTAATTTTGTCAGCTTTAACACCACAAACAAGCAAAGAGCCATTTTTTACCACAAATTGTATATCTAAAAATGAGTTAAAATTGCGTATTTAAAAATGAGCTCAGTCACATTTAGTGAAGATACAAATCTATTTTTTACTAACAGTTATATCAAGAAATTATATACAGATGTGAATACTGAACAAAGTCTCAAACTAATATATTTTGGATTAATTCATTGCTTCATCAGTTATGCAAATATATCAACTTAAAAAAATTTATAGATTACAAAAACATGTGTGCAGAATCATTAACTCTAAAAATAGGCGTGAGCAGGCTAAACCTATAATGAATGATATAAAAATGATGGATATTTTCGAAATAAATATATATCAGCATTTAATTTTTATATATTGATTCAACAATAATCTCTCTCCTGAAAACCTTAACAACAAGTTTGAAATAAATAGAAATAAAAACTATTATCTAAGTGCAAATATAAGTAACACATGTAGCCTGCCTTAAAGTTTTAATAAATATACTGAATTTAGCATTGCATGTCAAGGTCCAAATATATGGAATATTTATCAAAAAGGATTTAAAATGTATGGCAAAGTCATTAGGTTCATTTAAGTTTCAAATCAAAAAAGAAATTTTTAAAATTTGAAATTCAGAATTACTCGAGTAACTCTGAAGTTACTTGATTCTATTCATTTTTTATTTTTATTTGATTTACTGATCAGCGCAGCTGTTTTATGCCTATTAGGGTTAATAATATAATATCTAAATTCTATTTAAAGTATTTATAGGGGCTATATGGAAAGATTGTGATGGCGTATTGTCATCTTCATCTTCTTTGAGCCCCTGTCTGTTTAACTCTTTATTTCATAAAGATTATTGTAAATAGAAAAGTTTGTATGGTGTTTACTCTCATCTTTGTTCTATGGACATATTTTAAAGCTCTTTATGATTTTGGCATTAACGACGTAAAACAGCAAGTTATTCCAAGTATTAAAAACCTATTAATTATTATTTAATTTTTTTTTTTTTTTTATTTGCATTTACTCCCAACAAGGCTGCAAGCAACCACTATTAAGTTGGGAGTTACTAGGAAAAAAAGAACAGAGTTATAGAGCAAGGAAACGGTTGACAGAAGACTTAAAAAGTTGAAGGTTGAGTCAGGAAAACATGAAGATGGGAGAGAGTTCCAAAGGATTGAAGTGCGGGGAAAAAAACTAGATCAATAAAAGTTTTTAGAGCATGCAAGGACAGATACAGTAAACAAATGAGACTTAGCTGAATGACGAGTAAAACAAGAATGAATTTTAGTTGATGGAACTAGAGATGATAACTTTGAGCAGTGACCATGATAGTATTTGTAGAAAAGAGAAAGAGATGCAACTTTACGACGATGGGAAAGAGGTTCAAGCTTAGCAGACAGTCCAGGTCCAACAACATTTACAATGTGCTTTTGGACCTTGTCAAGAAGAGAAAGTGAATCATTAGAAGAACCAGCCCAAATATGACAACAGTATTCCATACAGGGACAAATAAGAGATTTGTAGTGGTAGAGAATGGAATCAGAAGTAAGGAAATGGCAAGCACGATAAAGAAAAGCAACCTTAGCAGAAGCTAATTTAGCAATCAATTGTATATATGGTTTCCATGAAAGGTCAGTAGTAATTCAACTTATATTTAGGCAAACTTAACTAGCGCAAATTACTCAGCATTATTTTGTGATAACAATTCAGCGCTAGAGATTTCTCAAGCTTTTATTTCACCTTTTTCATATGGACTCAGTGCCAGGTACCCGGACCCGGTTTCTTCTTCCGGGTACCTGGAGTTGGGGACTTGACACATCTCTAATATATACATATATATGCACACATATATGTGTTTATGTATAAATTAGTAAAAAAATATTTATCTAACTTTTTTTCTTTCACTGAAACAAGAAGTTTCCTGAAGTGTCTTCACAGATGAAACTGTAGAAGAAGAAAAAAATTAGAATATATAAAAGATTTATTAATCTAACATTTTTTATTTCTTCAGAATGTTTCTCTCTTTTTTTTTTCTTAACATTTTTCTCTAAAAATTTATATATTTATTTTTCTTAGTCTTCATTTATTCAATATCAAGTTTCCTTATAAAGTAAGCAGTTGGTTAACTTTGATGTTTAATATTTATGAATATGTACATTCTCCAGGTACCTTTTTTTAAATATATACGATAGCATTTGTGTTATATTTTCTCATTAAGTTGATATTTTTAAATGAAATTTTTTATAAGTATGTCAAGTTATACCACAATTAAGAAGAAAAACAAATAACAGAGAATAATTGCTTAAAATTTTAATAAAAGTATGGAATTGATTGGCTCAAAAGTAATTAGGCAAACTAAATTCCGATTACTTTTAAATATTGTTTTTTTTTTAAAAAAACTATTTTTTCAGAACGATGTTTTAATAAAAACATTCCATAATCAATAATTCATAATGCGACATTATAAATATTTAACAGAGACTGTGAAAAAGTTAATTATACAAGCATCTAATGTAAAAAATAAAGAAGAATGTGCGACAAATTTCGATACAAATAAATACTCCACGATCAGCATTTGGCTATACATTAAAGTTTTTCCTCAAAGGAATCATTACCAAGCATTCAGGAAAAATCAACAGTTTTTCACTAAGATAATATTATAGTGAGATCTGGGCAAGAGTTCCAAAGAAATCGTTGAGTTTATGCGGTCACATCAAATTTCCTGTTCTTATGCAACTGTTAAGCATCTCTTAAGACAAAACAACCTTTTTGGCCCCCGTCACCAAAAAACCTTTTGTTTCTGCAAAATATTGTAGGGCACAACTGAAAACACAACAGCAATGGTCAAAAGTACTATGGAGTTGTGAGTTTAATATATTTAGCTGATGGTATTAAGTATGTTCAAAATCCCTTAGGTCACTGAAATGATATTAATTACCAAGTTCCTATAGTAAAGCATGATGGTGCCTCAATAACGATTTTGTCATGTTTTAGCCATGATGGAATAAGTCCAATTTATCAAGTTCAACAACTATGGACAAAAACAGCATAATGGAATGTTCAATTACATAAAGCTGCCACATGCAACTTTCCAACATGTCAACAATCCAATGCACACTAATTTTTTTTGCCCCCAAAAAAGTTTGAGTAATGAAATGGCCAGCATAATCTTCAGACCTGAACTCAATAGACCAAACCTTTGTATAAAAATAAACCCAACCTTGGAGAGCACATTGAGAGAATAATTCAAGGTCGCAAACCAACAAATGAACAGGATTTGTTTGAGTTGCTTAAATGGACTTGGGAGGAAATACCAATTGATGTTTTGACGGAATGCTGTCATTGCGGCAAAAAAGATTTCCAACCAAGTTCTAGCACTACGTACAGATTATAAACTTTATGTAACAGTTCTGTTACATATAGTTAATAATCTGTATTTACATTCTAATGTAGCATTATGTAACATATATGTTATATAACAGAAATAAAAAATGTTGAAAATTTATCATTTGTTTTGTCAATATAGTTTTTAATGGATTTTAGCCAATCATTTAGTCCAAAAGCTTTTGAGCCAATCATTTAATTAGTCCAAATATTTTATAGCCAATCATTTAGTTAGTCCAAAAACTTTTGAGCCAATCGTTTAGTTAGTCCAAATACTTTTGAGCCAATCATTTGTATTCTTTAAATAAAATTTTGAGTTATCACTCACAAATTTGAATTTTTATTTTGTTTTTCATAATTGTAGTATAATCTGACACACTTATAAGAAATTTCATTTTATAAAGTTAACTCAAAGAAAAAATACAACAAAAAAGCTATTTTTTCAATTACTTTTTGGTGCTACTGTATATACTTTTTTTAAATTTTATTTCATTTTTAACTAAATAGAAAGTTAATGAAAAAAAAAAGAAATTAAAAAATGTAATTTTTTTTTGTTCAGGCCAAGATTTAATTTCCAACATCTTTATGCAAAATATAAGTTTAAACAACCAATCAAGCAAAACTCTTAGCAATCTATTAACAAATCATCAAGTTCTTTTAGTTCTTGCATTGATTCTTGTTTCAGGGAAATCTCTAGAACAGGTGTTTTAAACTTATCTATTGATATTTTTTTTATTAATTTTTTTTCTAAGAAAATTTTTGATTTAGTTTATTGAAGGTAATGATGATATTTTTTTTGAATTTTTTTTTTCTAAGAAAATTGTTGGTTTAGGTTATTGAAGGTGATGATGATGCTTTTTTTGAATTTTTATTTTCTAATAAAATATTTGGTTTAGGTTATTGAAGGTAATGATGATGTTTTTAAAGTTGATAAGCAGTTGCTGTTTGATTCTCTTCAAAGTTTTCCTAAACTTTTACAATCAATTCAAAACGAAAAAAGCTCTAATATGTTAAATCTTACAATTTATCAACTTCTTCAGGTGAGTTTTAACTTTTAATTTCATAATATGAAGATGACTTTATTTTTTTGGGGACAAGGTTTAACTTGGCTGTAAAGTTTTTGCATTTAACTCTTTTGGCACAGCCGAAAAATAGCAACCTTTTATGGAGTCTTACAAAAACATAATTATCTTTAAATAAAAAAATCTTAGGTATATGTTATACATTGTTAAAAAGCTTATAAAATTTTAAACAAATTTATTAAATTTTTTTTTTACATAACGGTGTTAAAATTCATGATGGTGGAAAAAGAAGAAATTTTTATGACTTTTTAGAAATATTTTTATGCTAAAGTAGATCTAGAAGTTTATAGCGAAGTCTGATGTAAAACATATATAATAAAGAAATAAAGCCTAATAAATTGGCAATCAGAATTTAAATTATTTTTGTAAATAGTGTTATTCATTATAGCATGACAGGTGGTTCATTGTTTTTGAGTATATTAGCAAAAAAAAAAGGGTAAATAATATTATAAAAATAATAGATACAAAAAACATTATCATACTACCAAAAAAAATCCGATCATACTACAAAATCGTAAATCTACTAAGATCTAATACATACTAAGATCACTTCTAAGATAAACACTTAAATTAATTACTTTTATGAAAATCTCAGCCATGCTATATTGTAAAAGTTTTTTTGCTACAGTGCAGTGTAAGGCGACATTGCACTGAGGTGTATCACAGTAGGAAAAAAAGATATATATATTTTTTTATGTTAAGTGTTGCACACTTTAGTTTGGTCTTTTGCTTCCAAACAACTTCTCTTATTCTACATTACTAATACCACTTACAGATGAGTTTAAACCACTTTCATTTTCATAGCTATCTAACACATAATCCAAATCTTTATTCAGAAGAATATTACATTTTTTTTTGCAAAACCATTTTAAAAAAAACTTTTATACTTTGAAGCTTAAATTTTGTATTTAAAATTATTAAAATTTCTGGATAAGCAGCTGTTTTTAATTGACAAATTATTATGTAATAATTTTCAAAAAAAAATCATTTAAAAAGGTCAGTTTGTTGTTGTCTTGGTGATTATAATTCTTTTTTTTTTGTTATACCTTATCTAGGATAATACAGAAATTAATGTGTTACGATGGTTTACATGGCAAGAAGGAAATAAATTGGCATTAAAAGAAGGTTTGTGTGAAAGTGTAGAGTTGTATTTTTATATGTTATAACATTATAAGAAAAATTTATCATTAATTATTCCATATAAATGATCTTTAATAATAGGTTATTTAATATCATGTACCATCAGTGATATATTGTAGTATTCTTTATCATCAGTGATACATTATTACAATGTGTCACTGATGGTACATGATACATGATATAGTATACTGTACCATAATACATAAAATATATATTTAAAGTATATATATATATATATATATATATATATATATATATATATATATATATATATATATATATATATATATATATATACAGTGAAGAACCCAGACATGTTTTAGTACCATTTTACCGGTATGGGCGGAAAAAAAAAGCGCCCAAAATTTTTTTTTTATTTTTAATTTTTCTTTTGATTTTTTATGAAAAACAGGAAAAAAAACTTAGTTTTAAATGCAGTAGTATATAAATAATTCTCAGTTTAATTTAACTACCTCATTTTTTGTTCAGGAAAAAAAAAAGAATTAAAAAGAAATTGCTTTTTTACATAACTACGTAACGTAATTTGCCTTCGGTTATTAACTGGACATAACTTTTAAAATGAAAGTCGTTACAAAACTTAATTTTAAAACCACATTGCAAAATTTTATAACAATGGAATGTATAAAAGATTTGCTTTCTTGAAAGTTAAAGCATTTTTAAATTCAGCCTAAGGTTAATTTTTGTTTTTGGCAATCAAAAGTAAACTGCTTTTGATAATAAATAAACAAAAGTAAAAAATATCAGTCCTTGTAACTAACGCGCAAGTTTAATTTTTAAATGAATTAACTTTTGATCTTTAGCTTGATATTTTAGTTTACATGAGGAAAAGGCAAAAAATGAAGTATAAACTTTTTCAGAAAGTTTTTTTCCTTTTAATATTTTTTTTGAAATAATAAAAAAAAGGTTTCCATAACTTTATAAAAATTTTATTTTAATCTGTTTAATAACCCATAGTAACTGTATTTTATTTATTCAAATGTAATTTTTTAAATTATTCATAATAATTAAAAAAATATATTTTTAAAATATGTTTTAAAAATATAATATGGTTTTTATCAAAATAATAGAATATTTTTTAAATTATGTTTACCGTAATTATCTCTTTAATTATTTTTAATTTACAAGGCGTCTTAAAGTCACTTTAAAAAATATAACCTTTAGTAAAAGTTAAATGAACAATTTACTAATGTTTAAATCAAAATTTTAAATTTAAAATAATAACAAAATTTTATTCAAATACTTTGTTAAATACGTTTATTAAATGCTTATCGAATTTGTTTATTAAGATGCTTATGTTTTTAATTCAAATACAAGACATAAAACTATTTTGTTAATTTTACAAATATTACGCGATATAATATATGTAAATATATTATGTAATTTAAATATTGATTAAAATTTGTTTAAAATATTTTTAATTATTATTTTAAATTAAGTTTACTAAAATATAGTTAATAACTTTTTAAAATACTTTAAACAATTTTCAATAATTATTTACTGATAGCGTGGTATATGCAACAAAAGCGTTTATTAAAATCTTAAGTAAAAAAGTTTTCTTTTAGCTAAGGTCCACCAGTAAATTCATGTATTCAAAAAATGCCTTTAAATCAACTCCTTATTATAGGATAAAACTGAACAAGATAAATATAAATGATTATTAAGAAAATGATGATTAAAAATTATTGTTGCTGCACCCGTATAACAAGGGGAGAATGAGGGGAAGGGGAAATCAAAATCATAATACACCCTCCCCCTTCTCTCCCCTTCCCCCCCCCCCCCACCCCCCTCCCAAAAAAAAGTAAAAAAAAACAGTATCCTCAAATAAGCTCTGGGTTCTTCACTGATATATATATATATATATATATATATATATATATATATATATATATATATATATATATATATATATATATATATATATATATATATATATATATATATATGTATGTATATTAGTGATTGACCAAATTTCGGTACTCAAATTTAGTGCCGAAACCGAAATTTCTGCAAATATTTTACTAAAACCCATACTGAAAATTGGCTAGTCAAAATTTATTTTATTAGAAAAATTTATTTAAAAATGCAATTTTACATTTTTTATTTTTTTATACTCGTATTATGTTAAAATTAATTACAGGTGTATTCCAAATTGAGATTTAATACATAAGTCGGTGATATAAGTTAAAAGGCAGATTTTCTCTGCAAAATAAGATTTTTTTGAGGTATTTTGTGAAAATTCTCAATATTTTTGTGAAAATTCTTAAAATGATTTTGTGAAAATTCTAAAAAATAACTATTTTTCTAAATTAGATAAATAACGGTTTTTTGTTATGTTTTTCAACCAAAATTTTGTTTTTTACCGAATTTATAAAAAGTATCGAAACCGAAATTTCAGTATCGGATCAAATTGAAATTTTGGCTGAAACCGATACTGAAACAGGTTTCGGTTGATCACTAATGTATATATATATATATATAGTATTCTTTATCATCATTGATAGCTGCAATCACCTGTATATATCAGTGATAGCTGTAGTTACTTGTATATATCAGTGATATATGTAGTTACATATATATATCAGTGATATATATGTAATTACTCGTATATTTCAGTGATATATATGTAAATATAGTTATAGTGTTATTTTTCAGTTTCATATTGTTGATTAAAAAATTTTTTCCGACTATATTTTAGAAGTTCTTTTGGAACTGCCACATTTTTCTCATCCACTATTAGTGAGTAAATATGCCCAAGTCATTAAACTTGATTATGAATATTACCTGAAAGAAGGTCGTCCTATGTATGCCTATCTTATATTCAAAAAGGAAAATTTATGGTATATATTTATTATTTACTTTATGAATACAAAAAAAGAAATTTTTAGGAATTTTATATTTGTTTTTCCTTTATTGACAATTTCTTTGTTTTCGATATCATTAAATTTATAGCGAAGCTAGTGCATGCAAAACATCATACAAGCTGGCAATAGAGAACTTCAGATCACTTTCTGTTGTGTCTTCTTGTTGTTTTTTTTTGGAGTTACTTGATCAAGATAATGAAATGATCAAAATAGATGCTAAAGTTATTGATCTTCTTTTTAAATATCAAAAACCATCTGAGGATAACAGTTTATTAGGTTCAATATTTTATGAATTTTATTAAATATATTTTCTTCACTTATTTATATATTTCACAGATTTATTGTTTTACATTATGAACCTTATTGTTTTTAAATAAATTTTAAAGTTATTTGAGATGAGTATTGTAAACCGAAAAATGTATCATGTTATGATGTCATTGATCATTGGTATATCATATTATCATCCTGTTATTATGTCATATATCATCAGTATATCCTGTTATCATGTCATATATTATCAGTGTATCCGTTATCATGTCATATATCATTGTATATCCTGTTATCATGTCATATATCATCAGTATATTCTGTTATCATGTCATTTATCATCAGTATATCCTGTTATCATGTCATATATCATCAGTATATCCTGTTATCATGTCATTTATCATCAGTATATCCTGTTATTATGTCATATATCATCAGTATATCCTGTTAACATGTCATATATCATCAATATATTATGCACTAACAGTCAGTATTGTTATAATATAAGAATGCTTTTTTTTTTTTTCTCCACTAGTTGGTCTATTTTTGGAGAAAAAAGATTTCTTGGAAATTCTGAAACTTCTAGAAAGTTCAATTGAACAGCTAATTAGTGATAATTTAGAGATAAAGTAAGATGTATTTTTTTTTTTAGTTTTTCTGATAATTTTTTTTTAATTTTTAAATACTTTATAGGTATCTATGATATTTTTTTAGATTTTCATACAAAGCAGTTTGGTATTGGCAGTTAGCAGTGGATTTTTGTAGAGTTCATTTTTTACCAATTACTGTACGTTACCTTGAAAATTGTTGCAATGAAGAAAATTGGTTGCAATTTTTTCTGTTTATTCATGTGCACCAGATTCCTTCATCTGAAGTAAGTTAAGTGTAACACTTGCACTAATTTTTTTTAGAGCTCAGCTGTGTATTTGTTATAGTAAATAAATTTGTAAAACATTTTTAAAGGTATTATTATCAAAACAATTTTTTGATAAAATGATAAAAAAAAAATTAACTCAAACTTAAAAACATGACTGAGAATTGGATTTGAATGATATATTAATTACGAAGTATAATTTGTTATGAAGAAATCATTTTTAACCAACAATTAAATGATGATGTAATATTGATGAACAATTATTGATGATTTTTTAGGGTTTTTCTACTGAATATGTATTACCTAATTATTTATATCTAGATATTTTTACTGACTGTAGCTTTTTCTTTAGGCTATATCTGCGTTAAATGAGTTTATGAAAAACAAACCATTAAAAGAACACTTGATTGCTATTGTCAGCAGTACAAAACAAGTTTCTATAGTGAAAGAGAGGAAGAAAAAAAGACATCAGGTGTCATATCAACTTTTATTTTATTTATTAGAATGTTAATGAAGCATTAAAAACAAAATAAAAGTAATGTACATAAAGTAAAAGTAATGTACATAAATATTTAATGAAAAATTTGAATAAGAAATTTTTATAAGATAAATTTTATATAAGATATTTTACTTTTTATTTGTTGACATTTAGATTCACTCATTTATTCATATTTAAAAAAATATTGAAAATTAAAAAGTATTTTCTAATGCAAAAATAATAGTCACAAGTATTCCATACAAATTTAAATTTTTCTAGTTTTTACTTAATTGAAGATATTTGAACATTCAACCCTATTAAATCTCAAGAAACGAGTAATATTCATTTAACCCTATCAAATCTCAAGAAAAGTAATGTAAAAATTAAATGACAAATATTTAAACAGGTCAGTTATCAAAAAATTGGTTGAGCGCCAACAAAAAAAGAAAGTTAAAATTTGGAAATAAGCAATCTAAAAACTAAAACTGAAAATCAACAAGACATATCTATGGATGTTCTCGGAATTCATAACTGGGCAATCAGTAGTTTAAATCTATAAATAACTTATAAATGGTACAATAAATGAGCAAAAAAAAAGATTAAGAAGGTTAAAAAATGTTATTTATGGGTTTATTATATATGGGTTGCCAGTTTCTTAAATTTAGAATAAAAAACTAGTAAAAACAAAATTAAAGTAAACCAAATTCTAGCTGATATGGATTCTACTGTAAAGTCAGTTTTTATTAAATGAATTAAGACAAGTAATTCATTGAAACTAGGTCCATCACTTATTGGTCTACAGGGTGCATCGGAGCTTAATCCACTATTGCTTTGTGGTAAAAAGTTGAGAAGATATAAAGTTTACATTTGAATTGATTTAATAGCAGTGGAAAGAGACTACAATTACAATTTAAAAAGAAAAAAACTCAATCTCTCTTTTTTCATTTGCAGTTAAGAGCAATCATTGTTGTTAGGTTTAAGAAAAGTTAAGCAAAACAGTTTATATAATTTAAATTGCATTTAATCAAATGCAATAGCCTTTAATAGTAAAATATATGAATTTAAACTTCTTTTATAAAGCCAAATATAGTTGAAATCATGAAGACCTGATTTGAAGATCATCAGTCACTGGAGTAGAAGAATTTTATATAGAAGTGACAAAAAGTAATGCATATAGATACTTCAGAATTGACAGAAATAATGCATATAGATACTTCAGAAGTGATAGAAGTAATGCATATAGATACTTCAGAAGTGACAGAAAGTAATGCATATAAATACTTCAGAAGTGACAGAAGTAAAGCATATAGATACGTCAGAAGTGACAGAAGTAATGCATATAGATACTTCAGAAGTGATAGAAGTAATGCATATAGATACTTCAGAAGTGACAGAAAGTAATGCATATAGATACTTCAGAAGTAATGCATATAGATTAGGTACTTCTGATCACGGTTTGATCTCTCTAAAACTATTATCAAATTCTTCTACTTCATCAGAATCCCCCTATCACCGTACCACATACAACTACCTTAAAGCTGACTGGGACTCTTTCCGTGATTTTCTTCGTGATGGCCCTTGGGTAGAAATCTTTCGTCTTCCTGCTGACAAATGTGCTTTTTACATAACTTCATGGATTCAGGCTGGCATGGAATCTTTTATTCCCTCTCGACGATTCCAGGTCAAGCCTCACTCTTCTCCTTGGTTTTCCTCACATTGCGCTGCAGCAATTTCTAATCGAAACCGTTACTTCCATATCTATCAGCAAAACAATTCTCCAGAAAACAGACATCTGTTCACTATCGCCAGAAACCATTGTAAAAAGGTTTTGTCTGACGCCAAAGCTCGCTATTCCCAGGTCATTAAATCTCGTATCTCATCACAAAAATTAGGCTCTCGAGACTTCTGGAGAATCTTTAACAGTATCAATAATAAGGGCAAATCTGTTATTCCTTCTCTCTTGTATGGTTCAGACTTTGTCACCTCTCCTAAAGACAAAGCTGAATTGTTTGCTAAGAACTTTTCATCAATATCATCTCTCGATTCCACTAGTTGCGTTTTACCTGACATAGCCGTCAAACAGGTTGATCCCTTGCTTGACATTCGCATCACTTCAGCTTCTGTATCAAAAGTAATTTCCTGCTTAGACTCTTCAACAGCTTGTGGTCCTGACAACATTCCTGTTGTAGTCTTGCAGAGGTGTTCTCCAGAGCTTTCATCCATACTTTCAAAACTATTTAACAAGTGCTTATCAGAGTCTTGTTTTCCATCATCCTGGAAAGCAGCATCTGTTATCCCTATTTTCAAAAATTCTGGAGAGCGATCTGATTCATCTAACTACCGTCCCATTAGTCTTCTTCCTGTCATAAGCAAGGTTTTTGAATCTTTGATCAACAAACACTTAATCTCTCATCTTGAATCAAATAACTTACTTTCTGATCATCAATATGGATTTCGGTCTTCTCGTTCTACAGCTGATGTGCTAACAGTAATAACCGATAGGTTTTACCGTGCATTAGATAGAGGTGGAGAGGTTAAGGCTATCGCACTCGACATTTCTAAAGCGTTTGATAAAGTTTGGCATGCTGGTCTTCTCCATAAGCTTTCTTCTTACGGTGTAGCTGGTAACGTCTTTAAGATTATTGAGTCCTTTCTTTCCAATCGTAGTATAAAAGTTGTCCTCGATGGACAACACTCTTCTTCACATCCTGTAACTTCAGGGGTTCCTCAAGGTTCAATCCTTGGCCCTATACTCTTTTTAATTTACATTAACGATCTTCCAGATATTCTCACATCTAAAGGTGGCATTATTCGCTGACGACACTACCATTTACTCTTGTCATGATAAGAAGCCTACACTCTCTGATTGCTTGGAGGGGGTATCTGAGCTTGAAAAGGATCTCACTTCTGCTACAGCATGGGGCTCACAGTGGCTGGTGAACTTTAATTCAGATAAAACTCAATTTTATTCGGCCAATCGTTATCGTAATAATTTAGATCTTCCTATATTTATGAATGGTAATGTACTAGATGAGTCATCTACCATTCATCTTCTAGGATTAACTCTTACTTCTGATCTTTCTTTTAAACCGTATATCAAATCCATTGCAAAATTAGCATCTGCTAAGGTTGCATCTCTTTATCGAGCTCGACACTTTCTTACTCCAGATTCTATTCTCTATCTCTATAAATCTCAAATCCGTCCCTGTATGGAATACTGTTGCCACATCTGGGGCGGATCTTCTAATGATGCTCTTTCTCTTTTAGACAAGGTGCAAAAACGAATTGTAAACATAGTTGGACCTGCTCTGGCAGCCAATCTCCAACCTTTGTCACATCGTCGTAATGTTGCTTCTCTTTCTCTTTTCTACAAATACTATAATGGGCACTGCTAAAAAAGAGCTAGCGTCCCTTGTGCCATCTACTAAAATTCATTCTTGTGTTACTCGCCATTCAATTAAGTCTCATCCTTTTTCTGTGACTGTTCCTAAGTGCTTCAAAAACTCTTATTCTTCTAGTTTTTTTCCTCGAACATCAGTTCTTTGGAATTCGCTTCCTTCATCTTGCTTTCCTGATTCATATAATTTGCAATCTTTTAAGTCATCAGTCAATCGTTATCTTGCTCTACAGATTTAGTCTTTTCTCTTCCAGTAACTTCCAACTCTTATAGTGGTTGCTTGCAGCCTTGTTGGAAGTGAAGATGTTAAAAAAAAAAAAAAAAAAAAAAAAATACTTCAGAAGTGACAGAAAGTAATGCATATAGATACTTCAGAAGTAATGCATATAGATACTTCAGAAGTGACAGAAAGTAATGCATATATATACTTCAGAAGTGACAGAAAGTAATGCATATAGATACTTCAGAAGTGACAGAAGTAATGCATATAGATATTTCAGAAGTTTTTTTTGTTTTTTTTGTTTTTTTTATTTGCATTCACTCCCAACAAGGCTGCAAGCAACCACTATTAAGTTGGGAGTTACTAGGAAAAAAAGAACAGAGTTATAGAGCAAGGAAACGGTTGACAGAAGACTTGAAAAGTTGAAGGTTGAGTCAGGAAAACATGAAGATGGGAGAGAGTTCAAAAGGATTGAAGTGCGGGGAAAAAAACTAGATGAATAAAAGTTTTTAGAGCATGCTTTGTTGAATGACGAGTAAAACGAGAATGAATTTTAGTTGATGGAACACCTTTGAGCAGTGACTATGAAAGTATTTGTAGAAAAGAGAAAGAGATGCAGCTTTACGACGATGGGAAAGAGGCTCAAGCTTAGCAGATAGTCCAGGTTCAACAACATTTACAATGCATTTTTGGACCTTGTCAAGAAGAGAAAGTGATTTGTTAGAAGAACCAGCCCAAATATGACAACAGTATTCCATACAGGGATGAATAAGAGATTTGTAGAGGTAGAGAATGGAATCAGAAGTAAGAAAATGGCGCGCACGATAAAGAGAAGCAACCTTAGCAGAAGCTAATTTAGCAATCAATTGTATATATGGTTTCCATGAAAGGTCAGTAGTAAGCGATAATCCAAGAAGACGTAAAGAGGAGGACTTAGTAAGAGGATTGCCATTCATTAATATAGGAATGTTGACCATATTACCCAGTAAGCAACTGGGTTTTGTTAGAGTTGAAATTCACAAGCCACTGTGAACCCCAATCTATTACTGAAGTGAGATCGGATTCAAGATCAGCTGCTTGTTCTAGGCGATCGAAAAGAGAAGACTATTTGTCAAGACAGGAGTATAAAGTTTAGTCATCAGCAAAAAGAGCTACTTTAGATCAAAGGTTGTCAGGAAGATGGTTTATGTAGATAAGAAACAAAACAGGGCCCAGGATGGAACCTTGGGGAACCCCAGAAGTTACTGGAAATAAAGAGTGTTGGCCTTCAAGGATGACTTTAATAAACCGGTTAGAAAGAAATAATTTGATAATCTTAAAACCATATGAAGCAAGCTTATCGAGAAGACCAGCATGCCAAACTTTGTCGAAAGCTTT